CTGGGATGGAACCACACACCAGGTATCGTCTGGTGAAGAGTGAGCAGAGTCAAGCAAGCCAAAAAGCTCAGCATGGTCTTTGATACTCTGTGTTTGAACAATGGGATCCTCTTTGATCCAAGTCCAGCTCTTCATTTGACTTGACAGTCAAGCTCTCCATGGGATTTTGGCACTACCTACCCAAAAGATCAATTTCCTTACCTGCCTCTGATCTTTTACACTATGGACTGTAACTCTGTGGATCAAAGTGGAAATTACAGATGTGAAACAGAACTTCCACCTCACCAGGTGAGTCTGTGGAGCTCAGTCCTGCTGCTGAAGGCAGAGCTACCTCCTTAGGAGTGCCCCAGCACTGCAAACATCCATGCCCACACCAAACCCTGCGCATGAATAGCTGCATTGAGCTGTTTACAGGCATCAGGTATGTAACTTCACAGGATTTAAGCCAAAATGCAAAGCTAATTTCTTACCTTGGCTTCACCACAGTAAGTTCTTCATACAGACACAACATAATTTCAGAAGCAAGAGTCAAGCTGTTAAAGAAATCAGCTGTTACAGCAACGACAACAGATCAAAACAGAGGCTGTTTTCAGCTAAGTCTCTTCAGGGAAGGACCATTTAGCCCAGCAGCTCAGACGGTGAGATTTGAGCACACAGGCAAACAACATTTTATTTACTCACTGTTTTATGACTGCAAATACTAAGCTTTTGCCATATAGTCTTAGAAGCAATGAAGTGAAGCATTTGGTACGTGTCTTGAGGATAGCACGGCACTGCAGCCAAGGAAACAGTATTTTCTAGCTCTGTTTGGCTCAACACTTGCCAAACCTGTGTGTTGATTAAGCACATGTATTGAAATGGTCAAAAAAAGTCCCATCAGAGAGAGCCTGGATGTTACTAAGCCTGTTACTAACCACTTGGCAGACTTTCTATCTTAACAGGCTTAAGACACACTGAGGGTTCCAGGAGCCCAGTCTTGCACTGGCTTGTCTCAGCTATGCTCTGTCCTAGTTTCACATGTGCTAGGAATTCAGCCCTGCTTTTTAGCCCACGCAGCATAACCTTCCCTGGAAGCTGTTTCCACTCCTCAGAGCTGGAGAGCATTTTCACATTATGAGAAAGGCCCTTTGGCAAAGGGCTGCAGTAATTGCCACTTGTTTGTTTATGCTGCAGAGATGTTACTCCTCCCCCAAGCACTGAGAAAATCCACAGAGCAGCAGTTGCCTGTAATTGTATCTGTTTGCGTGTGTGCTCAGCCACATTGTCCAAAGTCCTTAACTCCTTATTCCTCCTCAAACTCCCCTTTTCAAGGTGATTTTTGTTTCTAACCTTACTCTAGTCCAATCCTCTCTGGCTGCAGTGTGCCAGGGTTATCTGCAGGCAAGAGCTTCATAGTGATGGGCTTCCCAACAGACTGATCTACAGCTAAAGTTCCTTCAGCAACTACTTCAGCAGCTTGGGGTTCTCACACTGCCCTGTCACTGCATCCCATCTGATCTGCGTTTGTTCTTCTAGACATCTGTCTCCATACAAAACCCCAGAGGAATTCTTCTGAGATTTTCATTGTTCTGCCCAGTTCCCAAGTTAGAAACTTCTTAAAGCAAAGTGACATGTCAGTGCTGCAGCCTTTACTGACATATAAGAAATTGGAATGCTACTGTGACCATAGAATCAGAGAACCATGGAATGAACTGGGTTGGAAGAGACCTCCAAGATCATCGAGTCCAACCCTACTGTGGTTACTAGCCCATGGCACTAAGTGCCACATCCAGTCTCAGCTTGAAAACCTCCAGGGATGGTGAATCCACCACTTCCCTGGGCAGCACATTCCAATGCCTCATTACTCTCTCTGGAAAAAATCTCTTCCTAATATCCAACCTAACCCTCCCCTGGCAGAGCTTGAGTCTGTGCCCTCTTGTCCTGCTGCTGGTTGCCTGGGAGAAGAGACCAACCCCCACCTGACTCCAACCTCCTGTCAGGGAGTTGCAGAGGGTGAGAAGGTCTCCCCTGAGCCTCCTCTTCTCCAGGCTGAACACCCCCAGCTCCCTCAGCCTCTCCTCATGGCACTTGTGCTCCAGTCCCTTCACCAGCCTCGTTGCTCTTCTCTGGACCTGCTCCAGCACTTCAATATCCCTCCTGAACTGAGGGGCCCAGAACTGAGCACAGGATTCAAGACGTGTCCTCACACACCTTGATGCTCTAATTACTAACAAAAACAAGGCCAAAATGCCAAAACTAATGCACACCCTAAAATTTGCTTTAGGAAGAGATTTTTTCCAGAGAGAGTGCTCAGGCATTGGAATGTGCTGCCCAGGGAGGTGGTGGATTCCCCATCCCTGGAGGTTTCCAAGCTGAGACTGATGTGGCACTTAGTGCCATGGGCTAGTGACCACAGTAGGGTTGGACTTGATGATCTCTGAGGTCTCTTCCAGCCTGGTTGATTCTATGATTCTATGTTGTGTAATATAGATGAACAATGATGTGAGTAGTGGTCAGTTTTCTTCTGAGATTTCACATTGCTAAACCATGGAGAACTCATTCTTTTTGTGGTGTGATAATTTACTGCATGATTTGTTCAATATTCATCCATTTAGAAAAATAAATAAATGGAATATTAGAAAAATACAGAAGGAAAAAAACAGGCCTGGATCTGACACCGGAGGATATGGTTTAGGGTTTAGGGGTTCCAGCAGTGACGGGTTAATGGCTGGACTCAAAGATCTTAGAGATCTCCTCCAACCTTGATGATTCTATGACTCCAAGTCAATGCAGTGGTTATGAATAAGAAGAGCTGGATTGAGTACAATTACTACTTCTTTGCTACAGTGATCAAGTCAACTCTATGCCTGAAGAGCTGTCCTACAGAGACAGAGGAGGCTGAAGACTGGAGCTAAGCAGGATTGATGTCAAGACATCACTCAGTCCAGATCTGTATTCAGTGATAATCTGCAACACTAAATAATTTGACACTTTGCAATACTCTAAACTCCTTTAGATTCCATTTCAAATAAACCATAAAAAAGTCCTTGTGTTTTTTGAAGAAGCTGTTAAGACTGGATAACCATTCAGAGTGATGATGTGAAACAGCACAGAGCACTCAGCCCTGCAGTTCTCTCTGTCCCACCCACAGGAGTGGATACAGGAAGTACTGACACTGGGCAGGTTTCACCCTGCACTTAAAACTGTCAGCTTACCTGACACGAAATAGGTGAAAATATAAAGCTGAGATGAATGTGAGCAGGCAGCAGTGAGCTGTAGAACAGGTCTGTCAAAGGACACAGAAATCCACAGAGACAACTGCACTTTCACATGGCTAAAGCAAAAACAGGCTCCAAACTTTCTGACAAACTCAGCCTGGAATATGATCCAAATCCATGTGACTCTAAGGGAAAAAGAGATGAACCTGGATGCACTTTAATTAAACACTGCCAGATGGATATAATGCACAAATTTTCTCAGCCTTTGTCCTAAGTGAAAATCAAATGCACAAAGAGGAAAATCTACGACTTGGTAGACAAAGGCAGAAATGACCCTTAAAATGTACATCCCAAACCTATGTGAACATTTTCTTACTGAACTTACTTTTCCCCAAACTTTTCAAAGACTGGGACAGGCCAGGGGTGATGCCAGCCCACCTTGCTTACAAACCCACCTGAGCTCCACAAGAGTGAAAGTCTAAGCTAACCATCTGCCACATGAGGGGAGGGAAACAAAGTTCAGGCCAACTTGACTCTGCCAACTGCAGGACATTCCAGCTGTCTGAACTGTTTACCAAGCAGGAATATAGCTGAGGTTATCCCAAATGGCATGTATCATTGAATCACTTATTTTTAAACAAATACTACATCCATGGGAAGTATTTATAGTGTGTACAGTTCTTAGAAAGAGCTCCCCAGCTTGGCAGTCTGTCATGTGTGCCAAGCACGTGGGGGTGAATCTGCAGGCAGAGACAGCAATTGCAAGTTATACACCTTTGGGAAGCTACAGCAGGGCTGCTATCTGGGAGTTTAAGGTACAAGCAGCAAATTAGACATAATGTTTCCATGCCTAAAGTTCAGATTAATTCAGTTTTACTCCCTAAAATGAACACTTCTTTTCCCTTTAAACATTCTTCTTGGCTTCTCTGGTATTATTGCCAGCCAGAACTTTTGAAGTAGTTATTAAACATAAGGTCCTGAGCACCACATCATTTTGTTCAAGCAGGAGATCTATGAGCTAAGCCAGACTGTCATCCTTTCACTCTCTGTTGCTTTGCTGCTGAACAGAGGGAGTAAAAACACCCATAAGTGAGATTTTTACTTTCTTTAATTTAAAGATTGTATTACAGAAAAGTTTAAGTAAGGAATCCTGATAAGGATTAACTCTTGACATAATATATTGCCAAGATACAGTGTAGCTGCAAGGGCTCTGGGTGAACCTTCATATAAGTTGCTTTCTTACATACACAGTTGCTGAACAACAGAAATGGTATTCCCCATGGGTAAGAACAGACAGTGGTGTTCAAACAGTCCTTTCACCAGTGTGTCCTGGTTTTCCCAAAGTAGAAACACGCCACGTTAAATTCTATTATACAGAAAGGTGAGAGAGATGAGTTTTCTCTAAGGATTGCAACTGAGGAAAGGTTAAAATGAAAACTGAGGAGTGTTGATTATGCAGAATGGTTTCTCTTTTACTGGCAGGTCAAATATACTAAGGAACATACAAATGGTTTTGATAATCTAATTCCAGATGAACTCAAAACACTGAAGTCACATACACAGGCTAAGAGAATTCAATACTGTTCCAAGGCACTTACTGAATCTCCATGACTAGATGAAAACCAGAACAAATTAGGTCTGACAATTAAACAGTATATAATATAAAAATAACTTTTTTGCTTACAATTTACAAAATGTATTACAATCTTTATCTCTGCTAACCTGCAATTCTGGCTGTGTGTGTCCAGCAAGTTTTTGTTTTTGTGGGTTTTTTTTTTTTTTTTTGCTTTTTCTTTTTGTAAAAAACCCCAGAAACTATTTTCTAAAACTTCAGGGCAAATAATTTACAAATAAGGTACACAAAAATTTAGACCATGCAGAGATTTCTTACATCTTCTGTTAATATTTTATGATTGCAACTTTATCAAATTATATACTTACTTGCCCTGTACATATACAAAATAATGCATACATGGTAATCAAACGTTAGCAAAAAGTAGTCCATAAACACAATCTGTCCAAAGTATTACTATATTAACATATGTCTACAAGCAGCGTGTAACAGGGTTAAAAGACATTAAGGCAATAATACTTGGAAGTTACAAAATAAATCATATGTAATACTTTCTCCTAAGTGTAGTAAGGCAGGTAGATGGCCCCAGCAAGAAGGTAAGTTGTAATACTGGAATCCACTGCTGTGAAACCAAGTGTCAGGTATTGGCGTGGGATGTACTGCAAGAATGTACCATTTGGTAGTTAGATCTACACTGCTCTGTGTTAGTCTCCCCCCCCCCAGAAAAGTGGAATACTAGTTTTCTAGTTCTCAGTGGCACTTTTGAGTTGGTTTTTTTTCCAGTATAATTTATTGATAGTATGTCCATGGGTTCTTGGATCATGTCCATTCTGAGGGTGGCTCTCGTGGTCCTCTGGGCTTTCCACAGCGGTTACCAAAACCTGAGGAAAGAGATGAATTTAATACTTCTGACCCCTCAGACAACACAGGTCACACAAGACAAGGGCCACCAAGGCATGCTCAGGCTCTTACACAAGAGGTTTATACCCAGGGCTAGAAAACAGCTCTGAAGAGTTCTAAGCATGAGGAGCTCTAAAGGTCCCATGGAAACACAAACACGAAGAACTTGTATATAATATAGTTTACTATTTAAACCTCCCTTGGAAAGCACTTATCACCAAATACAGTATTACAGCCTTTGTTATCTCTTTTTTTCCCCCCTCTCTGCATACCAAAGCAGCTATCAGGTATTACTTCTGGAAGTTTTCAGTGCTCTACAGAAATTATATCCCATTTGACAGATTCTACGTTTTGTACATGCAAAAAAAAAACCCCAAACCCAAAGTGAACAATTATTCCATCATTCATTCTGGGGAAAATTCCTTCAGTGATGCTGAAGAGACAAGACAGGCTCATTTCTCTGCACCTCAGTGGGTCAGGGTGAGACAGCAGCAGCAGCTACCCAAACCAGAACTGTTAGTGAACCCTCCGTGTCAATCATCTAGTGATTAAGTTCTGAATGAAATGTAATTACCAATATCTGTTACTTCTGCAGGAAATTCTGAGATTTGACCTCTTGTATCAGTGGAACCAGAAAAAGAAATCTGAGGTAAGATGTCAGTTGGTGTTTTGTTGCTTCTTTCAGGACGATCTGGAAAACACATAAGCCCCTTAGTGTAACATTCACTCATTTACCACCGTGGCAAAGCTACTTTCAATTACAGCTCAGTCCAGAACACAAATTGCATCAAGCATATTTACAAAACTAAAGGTTTAAAAGCCATTTTCTCAACTCTTAAAACAAGGTACGTGGAGGTTGTTTATGAGGCAGATGTTCACTGACAGTGACACATTCCTGTTCACCACATACGGATTATTACTTTTGATTCATATGGATATTGAAAATCCCACATAGAGGTTATTTATAGCAAGAACTCACAGTGCCATTTCATACAGCAACAGAAATGCATCTGTTCACATTCGTGCTAAACTAAAGGTGCTTAGGCATGATCATAGAATCATCAAGGCTGGAGGAGACCTCCAAGATCAACAAGTCCAACCATTAACCTGTCACTGCTGGAACCACTAAACCCTAACCCATATCCTCCGGTGTCAGACCCAGACACCTCTTAAACACTTCCAGGGATGGTGACTCCAACACCTCCCTGGGCAACTTATTCTGGTGCCTGAACACCCTAACAGGGAAAACATTTCTCCTAACATCTCATCTGACTCTCTCCTGTCTCAGCTCAAGGCCATTCCCTCCACTCCTCTCCCTGCAGCCATGGCAGGACAGACATCCCTCACCCCTCTCCAAACCCTGTCAGGGAGTTGTAGAGAGCCATGAGGTCACCCCTGAGCCTCTTCTCAAGGCTAAACAAACCCAACTCCCTCAGCCCTTCCTCACAGGACATGTTTTCCAGACCTTTTCTGCCCTTGTTGCCCTTGGCTGGACTCACTCCAGCAACTCAACGTTCTTTTTGCAGTGCCCAAAGGTGAGCAGAGCACTGAGGTGTGACCTCCCCAGTGTCCAGTCCAGGGGGATGATCACTGCCCTAGTCCTGCTGCCACACTCTTCTTGGTACAGGCCAAGTTGCCCTTGGCCTTCTTGGCCACCTGTGCACACTGTTGGCTCACACTGAGCCGCTGTCACCAGCACTCCCAAAAAAAACTCCCCACTCCTCCCCCAGCCTGGAGCTGCATGGGATTGCTGTGTCCCAAGTGCAGGATCAGCTCTGAGCCTCATTGAACCTCATGCAGTTGTCCTCAGCCCACTGATCAGGTCGGTCCAGGTCTCTCTGTGGAGCTATGATAGCTAACCATGTGTTGCATTACCACCTGTATAACCACTCTATGAGCAAATGTGTCATTATTTCTGAAAAATAATGTAAAAAAAAAATCTCTCAGGTATTTAACATGCAGCTAAAAATGGACTGTACAAACCCACGAGAGCAGACAGCAAACAGGGCAGACATAAGCTTAAGCTGAACCAGGTTGCTGCAAGTTAAACAGCAGCTGATAGACTACACATCCTACTGAAGGCTTTTCAGAAGACCAAACATGAAAGACTTAAATAAATATGCAACATACATATAGCTGTTTCTTTAAAAACAGAAGGTCCTTTTCAGAAACGCCAGAGTTTTGACAACATATTTAGGTATCTTCAGAGCAAAAGTAAAGTTCAGACAAATTTTTTTTCAGTAGGAAAAATGTCTTTTGGGGAAAAAATATTAGAAAAGCTTTTTCACCACTTACCAGGTAGTATAGGTGAAGGTGTTTTCAAACCCTGTTAATGAGAAATATTGAAAATAATTATGTAAAATGCTTCCAAAACACTAAAAGGAAACCAGAAATCTAAGATTATGAAAACATCTCCAAAAAACAAACAACATTTGTGGAAATACCTACTTGCCTCTACTTTTTGACTTGCTTAACACTGAAAAAAAATGCTACAGGAATTAATGAGAGAATTTACTAATAGAACTTTACTGAACACTTAATAAAAATTTGAAAATGTGATGCTACAGCTGATTTTCAAAGTTAGGTAGGTTAGTTCTCATACCAAATTTAATGACCCTGAAAACTCACATCTATCTTTTTAGCCATGTTTCTAAGTGAGGCATTGGGAGTGCATGAACAAAAGGCACTGAGGGAAGCAGGATTTGGATGCTTGGAAGTTTTGCCAGCTGTTCATGCTGGATGACCTTGACCAGCTTGTAGATTGATAGGAAAAGTGAAATCTGATGGGCAAAACAAATGTTTTATTTAAAATAAATATGGACAAAAGGGAAAACCTTTATCAGGCAGTGAAACAGGCTTCCCACAAAGGATATGAGGTGTCCATCCCTGGAGGTTTTCAAGACCCAACTGGATAAAGACCCAGTTGGCTTGGGCTGAGACTCTGCTTCAGGCAGCAGGTTAGGTTAGAGACTGCAACTCTCTCCCAGTTTGATTTGGCCTATGACCCACCAAGGGCAGACAGCAACCTCCATAAAAGCAGCATATTTACACTCCTAAGGCCATAACTTAAAGCATATTAAGGATGACTTCTTTTAAAAGTATGGCTGAACTTAGAAATCCAGAGGGTTTTCTTGGAAAGAAACTCTTAACGCGTCAGCTCAGCCCTCCAGGCAGAGGAAACACTGCCCAGTTGTAGTCAACCAACAGCTGCCACTGCTCACAAATATGTATTTTGCTTTTTGCTGTAGCTCCCAAGCAAGCTAGAAATGACTGATTAGTACAGACTTGTCTCCTGCACTTACTGTGGAGGCTGTTTGCTCAGGGAGATGCTGATCAGGCAATATGCTCCACTCCGACTGTGCAATCAGCGCTGGCTTCGGCAAGGGTGTGCCTAGGGAAAATCAAAGCAAACCTGACATGCTTCAGTTCTCCCCACCACGAGGCATTAGCACACAGCATTAGAAATGTGCTCTGAAGCACCTTTTTTTTAGATTAAATGCTTTCAAAGACATGAAAAATCTCTGTACATGAAAAGCGTTGCGATAAGACAAAATGCCACGACGTAATTCAAAACACAAGACTGCACTGGATTGTGGGTGTTCATTTTCCTTCCCCTAACCAACAGGGGAATTGTCTTCTTTTTCAAGCATGCTTTACAAACTTTGTTCTATCAGCTGTGCAGTAACAGCATGTGTTTTTCAGATCTCCCAAGTAAAGACAACATACAAGTCAGGACAGCCATTCCTGTCGTTTACTGACACCAGGAAAAATCACAAGCAAAATGGAAATGCTTTTAGTGATTTCCAGTCCCAGAGATTTTTAAATTTTTTTTAAAAGAAAACAGCTTTGTTTCTTGTGTTGTCCCAGAAAAGCAGCAAGTCCATAATACCCAAAGAAAGGACCAGTTTGACTCTGAACTACCTACGCTTATGATGCTCAAGGGACACATCTCCAAAACTTCAATGTTTTTATGATGAAAATATCTAGATTAACTACTTGGGAAAAATGTTTTTGAAAGGTTCATAGAGTGACACTAAACAAAAGCCTCAGTAAATAACTACATCATGCTAGGTTTTCTGGAAGACACCAAGCATCAACCTAACTGAGCACTGAATTTCAACTGATCTGTTTCGTGTTCTGCTTAATGAACAAACTGTGATGATAGGAACACATCACTTGGAAGCATCAGCTTTCTCTTTCAGTGACCCTTTGGGAACAGGCAAAGAGCAAACTGTTAAACCTGAACAAACTGGGCTTGTTCACTACCTGCAGTATGAAGCCTCATCATCTCTCCTTGCCTGAGAAAAGGGAATCAGATAACACTGTTCATGTGTGTTCCCATTCCCAGCCTGGAAACAGTAGGAAACTAAAATAGCTGGGAAATTCCTTAACTGTACTGCATTTCCCCACTGTATCTTATTTCCATACCCTTCAGACTGAAAACCAGCTCCTCTAATATTGAGGCTTCCAATTACTTAAATACTACATAACAGAAATTTGGTCAGAAAGTGAGTAATAATTTCGCAGTGTTCAAGGACTCATGAAAGTTAAGCCTCAAAATCAGCCACCACACAGAGGAGGTTTCAGGCCATGCCACAATTTGCTGCAACAGACAAGCAAAAAGCAGAGGCATTCAAACACAACACTGAAAGCTTTTCACATGTTATCTCCATTTACCAGAAAACATCAAGAACTCACTCTCTTCACTTGCTAATACAAATGATTCTGGTGTTCTTTCGGGGAGTGGGGGAGAGGAATCTTCACTACCATCAGCATCTAAATCAAACGTGACATGTAGATAAGTTAAAAGACACACATTTTCCTTCTAGACTTTTAGAAGTTGATCTTTTGATACACAAGAGCATCCTAAACTTGGTGTTAAAGCTGAATTTGCTCTAAATATTACAAACCATTTTGCTTTACCAAACTAATGCCCTGGAGCAACTTCTTGCTAACAGCACTAACTTTGCAGTGTAAGCAGGTAGGGTCAGTTTGGGTGTTATGCAAGAAAGAAAACCAAAACACTTTTTCAGTTTAAATAATTGGGAGGAAAAAACTCTCAGTAACTCGAATGAATAATTTTTCTTCATACTTTCAGGTCTGTTTTGCTTCCTAAGTCTATGTCAGGGCCCACTGGCTCTCTCACCACTGCTATAAACTGGTTAAACATCTAGTGCAAGGTTTACTAGCCAGAGGGTAAACAGGAGCCAGAGGAGGCTACTCTTGGTGCCAGTGCCACATCCTGTGGCCAGTCTGTTCCCTCTCCCCTCTCAGGAGTGTACTAACACAAGCTCTTCTGGCAGCAAAAGCCCCAACTCCGACCTGCTAAGAAATCTGGAGGAGTAATTAAAGGTTTAAAACAATTTAAAGCTGCTGTTGCCATAAGAAATCTCATCTGACAACTGTATTCTGCACAGGATTCAGAAGTATGAAGACATTTCAGTGAATGAAGCTTGCCCTGCCAGCATGTCCTGCTGCTGCAGGGACACAGCTCCATCGTGCTGGACAAGCTCACTGACTTCTGAGACCTGTCCCAACTCAGGTTTACTCCACAGCATAAGAAAACCTTCCTCAATGGAAATGGCCTCTATAAAATTGAGTCACCGTGGATATGCACTAACTGCAGGGAGTTTTTAGGGGGTTGTTTTGGGTGTTGCTGGTTTATTGTTATGTTTGGGGTTTTTTTCTGTTACCTCGGGGTACCACTACTTCTCAGTTGATTTGAATTAAAAAGAGGATTTAACTACATGGTGAGATCTTGCACAGCAGCAGTTATGGTTAAGCGATTAGGGTGCTGCTAAGTTCACAGGCAAGTTTGACTGAGGACTACAGCCACATTCCCAGCTTCAGCCAGAAGAGTCCTGAGCACGTGTGAAAAGGAGAAAAACACTGTGAAATGGTTTAGGATCACTGATGCAAAGCAATCTAACTCTGCATTCTTGAGTCCCAGAGAGATTACAAGATCTGCAACCAAATTAGCAACACAGCAGCAGCACAAGGGCTGTGCTGGTGTTTCAGGACATTTCTGATGCACAGGTAGATGAAACAAATTCTGGAGTGACATTTCTCCCATTCTTTATCATATTTGTGACATATCACTTATTTTATCTGCATGTTCCTACAGCATCTGCATAGAGAGACAATGATTTCCAAACAGTGGTAAAGATTGCCCTGGGAAAGAAGAAAAAAAATCCTGGCTAAAAGGAGTGTTGGGAAAATAAAACAGCCTGGAAATCTGAAAAACAAATCCAAGGAGGTCTGCTTGACAAAGTTGAAGTAAGTGTGACCTAAAGGGCTTTGTCAGCTCTGCAGAGCTTTTTGAAGTATCATAATATTAAAACCATACATGTATGCGCAAGCATTGCTCTGTGTGTGCACATAATGTCACCAAACTAGAGAAACAGATTGTTGCTAAGGCTGCAAAACAGTTCATGTTTCTGGATATATGACCTTTGGTGAAAACTTAGTTCACAGAGCCAGTGTTTCCAATTCAGCTGCTTCTGCATCTTGCACCCTACACTGAGACCCAGTGCACCTCAGAAAGTCATGAAGTCTGCAAAGACATCTGAGCTGAGGCCACCACTGTAAGCACCTCCAAGCACAAGAGTCTGAGCTGAATCCAGAAAGTTGTTCTTTCAGCTCCACAGCCTCACTAGGACTTTGCACAGGCCTAATCTGTTCTTCCCAGCTCTGTCCTCCATCTGATCTAAGTGTGCCAGCCTGACTGAAATCTGCATCTGCATGTTTGGGGGCCCTTTTGCCTTTGATAAATGATGTTGTAACTTTCACATTTCCCTTTCACAAAAGAAAAAAAATAGTTAAAGATTAAAAGCCACTAAATAATTCTCAAAGCACTAATAAAACCTAACTTGGATTTCTAGATGAACAGCAGGATGAGCTTGTCTCCCCCAGCCGTGTACAGAAAAAGAAGAAAGCACAGCTAAATATTTACAAGGCTATTAAAATGCAGGAGTCAAATCATGAGCAACTTCAAAGACCAATACAGCGAAGGAGGTTACACCTACATTTTTAGGAATAGCACATCAACCAGTAAGAAGGAATTTGTTCTGTATTTGGACAAGCCTGTTGAAAATACTTTGACTAGTCAAACCCTCATTATTATAGACACATGCATGAAACTGGGAGTGGAAATAAAAAAATGCACCAACCCCTAACACAGAAACCTACCATTACAAATGCATAATAAATAAAGCATTAAATAAATGCTCACAATAAAGCTTTTGAAGCAGCTAATCAATCTGTAGTACCTTATAACAGAAAGAGCTCACATGCAAACTGAAAGCTGGCAGGAGGAAGAGTGGTGCCCTCTCTGAAGCTGCCACTGTTTAAATTTACACCCAGAAAATTGCACAATAAAGGAATTCCACAGATGCAGCTAGGTTAGAGAGTAGCACTTCTGAAGGTCAATGAAACCTACCTTTGCCATCTTCAGAACATGTTACAGCTGCTAAGTCTTGCCTAGCAATTGACATTGGCAATACTTTTCTGGCAGAAATGTTCTCAGGGTTAGTGGCAGCAGAGACTGTGGCACTTGCGGTCGACACGTTAGATGCACTTTTGCTCATGGCTCCGTCAAAGGTCATCTCGTCCGTGTCAGAGTCATCTGAGTGAAGAGGATTAGTAAAACAAAGGGGAGCTCGAACTGAAACAGGAGTATGAGCAACATGATCACTGAAAGGATGTTCAGCTATGGTGTTTGGTGCCAGAGACAGAGTTTTCACACCGTGACACAAGGTGTCTGAACACACGTCTCCGGACGCTGACGTACGCAGTGCATTTTCAGGCCCATGTAGCGACCACGTGGCATGTCCCTTTTCTGTCAGAGGCAGACGATCTGGTCTGGGGGGAGTATCAGAAACCTGCAGACTTTCTGGGGAAGGTATTAAGGCTGTGTTAGACTGTGGCACGCTGTACTCCATACATGAGTTTGGAGAAGCATCTACAAATGAATCCCCTGAAATCTGTTCCTGTGCCTTAAAGCTCTTATCGATTACACAGGATGACACAGGCTTAATTTTAATTGCATGTCCCCTGTTCAACAGGGAGTTCCCATCAAAGCTTCGTGGTCCCTCCTGAAGAGGAACCTTCTTGATCTCAAAACTTAAGTTGCGCTCCAGCCTTTTCTCGGCACGTTCACTGGGTTCGTTCTTCCCTGAATGGTCTGGTGACTTATTGTAGTTCTCGTTGAGGTCTGTTGAATGCTCTGATGAAACCATGTGCAAAACTGGCTTTGGATGGTATCTATCATTGTCCTGCCACACTGTAGTGACTGTTGGATAAGCTGATGGGGGAGATGGTGTTAAGATTGGTGGTACTGGCAGAGGCTCTGGAGGCTGCAAGATTTCTTCTTTCGCATCTCCTTCTACAAGGCAACTGCAAAACAACAAAAGCACAGCTAAGTTTTCTGTATTTTGACAGGAGTTTAAACTTCTATCCACCTCTCTCTGCAGCAGTAATGCTTTCATACCAATATGGAACTGCACATTCCACTGCACACAGACAAGGGTGACAGAACATGACCAATGGAGTAGGCAAGAGCTAAGTCAACACACTCCAAACGTCTTTCAGAGCACCACAAAGACATGCATTCAGACTACAGCTAATCCTCACTGATAGTTCAAAGATTGCTCACATCCTTTCCCAGAAGCGTTTTTTCAGTGAGACAGGCCCTCTTGTGGCAGCATTTCACTGCTTTTTTTCCTTCTGAAGTGGCTCAGAGCAACTTGACATATGGAATTCAATTTTCAATACAGCCAAGAAAAATTTGTTTAAAATAAAATAAATCCTTACAACCCTGAATATCTTCCTTCACTTTTATTTCTCTGCACATGCCCAGAAGGATTTTGGTTTTGTATCTGTCTATTTAATACTCTCTGCATGGTTGTAAGGCTAGTGATGCAGACCAAATGTAGCTGACATGAAGTGCATACAGTGTAAAAACCATTCACAGTAGAATATATGATCCAAATTACAGTGCACATTAGTGAGACCACAGCACTTATAACTGCAGTTCATCTCAAGCTACTTAAGAGGAGAAGCTCTTCAAGCATATGGTCATTTTACTTTCTGATTAGATGCAGACTAGTTGACTACTACAAACAGGAATTAGGCATTTTTCTGGTTTTCATTCAGAGCCTTTGAAAATCCAGAAGGACCTGGACAAGCTCAGAAGTGAGACCATGGGAACCTCATGAGGTACAAGGGGAGATACAAGGTGCTATACCTGGATTGGGGCACTCCTTGGTGCCAGTACAGCCTGGGGGATAAAGGGATTGAGAGCAGCTGAGAAGGACTTGGGGATGCTGGTGGATAAGAGGCTGGACATGACTTGGCAACATGCACTTGCAGCCCAGAAAGCCAATGGTATCCTGGGCTGCACCCAAAGCAGTGTGGCCAGCAGGTAGAGGGAGGTGATTCTGCTCCTCTGCTCTCATGAGACCCCACCATGAGCATTACATCCAGCTCTGGGCCCCCCAGTACAAGAAGAGCCACACAAATGCACCAGAATTCCTGCCTGTCTACAAGAGAAAGGCATCAGAGTGGCTCACATTGCTTGTCTGTGTGTCACATCCCAACAAAAATCAAAGGAATACTGCTCACTCTTCTACTCCCAAACCAGGCCTTAAAAGGGCTCAGCCAGTGCAAATTCTTGAGATTATCATGACTTATATAAAAAAACCAAACCCAAAACCCCCCAGGGGACTGCCTCACACTTGACTCTCCAGAACTAAAAGCATAGATCACTTGGGACAGGCTACTGTGTTTCATCCTTGTGGCTTTACTGGAACCAACCTACAGCTGTATGGGCTGAAGAACTAAAATCCTTATACAAGGGATTCCATACTAAAGAGAACCCTTTGCATTCTGTTTGGTTCATGCAAATCCCAACCTCCTGAAGTACTGCAAGCTTCCCAGCTTCCAAATTATCTTCTAAAAGTTACTGCATCCTTGTATCTGGAAAATCCCAGATCATCTTGTAGCTCTCCTGGGTGACATCCTTCATTCTCTGCCTGACTCCTGTCACAAAGAGTTGGACCTCAAATTCCTCCTCTTCCCCTCCTCTCTGTGCTTGCATATTGCTGGTTTTCTTTACATCAGAACAGGAGAAATGGAAAGCACAAATCAATTTAACTGAAGTAATCAGGCAATTCTTGCCTCTAGACATTGTTGAAAATGAACAAGCTTGAGAACAAGCTGTTTGCTTGAATTAGTAAAGCTAAGACAGGGAAGGGAGGGGGTGTAAGTTTTACTCCAATTCAATACACACCAAGGGCAGGAGAATTCTCTCCTCTTGGACTTCTCTCCTCTGTTTCAAGTGGGGGAGGGGGAGGTGGAGAGGGAGTGAGTGCACATGTTTACATGCCCTCTTTACCAGCAGTGATGCCCATGAGTAATCTCCACTAAATCCTCCTACTGAAAATAATGTTTTTCCCTTATTGACCTCATTTTCCTGACCCAGAGTTAGACATGCAATCAGCAAAACTAATTTCTTATCTGGTACAGACTTACCATTAAGCCTTACAATTAGCTAAAGAAGCAAATTAGCACTAAACTAGATATGACAAGGTCCTAGGCCCACAATACCAGTCAAAATTCATGAAGCTCTTCAACAGTTCCTGTTCAATGAAACCACTGTACCCTTGGATTCACTAGTAAACAGAGCCCCATGTGAACATAAAGAACTCCCTTACAGGTGTCCATGGAAATGATGATACAGAAAATGCTGCCCAAGTCAGCAACACAAAAGCTGATTAAACAGCTTCCTCATACACGGCTCAGCACAACTGCCACCGTGTTCCCCATTACATCTGAAGGTAAATGTCATCCCTTCACTCTTAAATGAGAGCTTACAGTGATCAAACAACAAATTGTTCACCGAAATCGTTCTTTGCCTTGTTAACATTGAAGGATATCCATCCTCAGAAATTGAGATGCCCAGATAGACTTCTAATGTAATTTTTCTCTTAAAAAAAAAAAGGAAATAGATGAAAATAGGTAACAACTGTTCCATTTCACTGACATTCACAGTCATAATATTCTTATTTCACATATTCTGCATTGCAAATAATATTTCTGTTAAAATACCAGGGTATGTATACGTTCAACAGGTCTCTGCTTTTTCTAAAACTCTTGGTAGACAACCTTGGGCATTTTAGACTGCTGCATATAATGCTTTCTTTGGGCATGTTATAGAATCAGAATCATCAAGGTTGGAGGAGACCTCTGAGATCATTGAGCCCAACCATGAACCTGTCACTGCTGGAACCCCTAAACCCTAAACCAGGTCCTCCAGTGTCAGATCCAGATGCCCCTTAAACACCTCCAGGGATGGTGCCTCCACCACCTCCCTGGGCAACCTATTCCAGTGCCTGAACACCCTAACAGGGAAAACATTTTTCCTAACATCTCATCTGACTCTCCCCTGGCTCAGCTTATGACCATTCCCTCTAGTCCTCTCAGCTGCACTTTATAGTCACTTCTCCTCCCAGAGGCAGAAAACTATCTGAAGAACTACTAATACAGTTACAAACAATAGGAGACAGTAAACCCAGCTTGATTCAAAATACCAGGAAACTAATAAAATGTTCATGAAAGAGGACACTGAGACAGAAAAGACTCAGTGAATCAAAGCAAGCCAGACCAATCAAGAAGGAGAAGTAAGTTTTCCTGTATTAGACCTTTAAATAAACCCTGCATTGCTTTTAGATATTGCAAAAGCATTTCACACCTACATTTGTAAAATCACACTATGTGATAAAAAATTTGAAAGCTTTTTCATGACTCAGCCTCGAAATGTCTCTTCATATACAACTGCTACAGATTATACAGTATACAACTTCCTCAGGATGGGAAGTGCAGGGGCAGCACTGACCTCTTGTCTCTGACAACCAGGCACAGGACCTGAGGGAATGGGCTGAAGCTGTGTCAGGGGAGGGTTAGGCTGGAGATTAGCAAATAGTTCTTCCCCCAGAAGGCGTTTGGGCACTGGAACAGCTCCCAGGGCAGTGTCACAGCCCCAAGGCTGACAGAGCTCCAGAGGTGTTTGGCCAATGCTCTCAGGCACAGGGTGTGATTGTCAGGGATGTCCTGTGCAGGGCCAGGAGTTGGACTAGATGGTCCTCAAGGGTCCCTTCCAACTCTGATTATTCTGTGATCTTGGAATGTCACTGCCTCTGCACTTCCTCATCCACCACTATAGAATTTCCCTGGGTGATCCAGACAGAATTTCATCCCCTTTTATTGCCACACAGCCTGAGCAGCTGATGCAGTGCCCTAGTGCCAAAGGTGATGGTGATGGTTTCTCAGGCATCAGGTAAGCCACAACTTAGGCAACAATAACTTAGTAAAATTCTCTGTCATAAGAACAATTAAACACACTTGTAAACTACTATAATTTGCCAAAAAAATAAACAACCCTCCCACAGCTTTCCACCAAAAATGCACACAAGAAAAAAGCCAAAATGAAAATGAAGTGATGGCAACACTATTTTTGCTTTTTCTGCAATCCATTACAAGTTTTCAGAATGTTTTAAGCTCTCAGCCATTCTAGCCCTAATGGAAAAGAGCTACATTATTAAAACTGGGCACCATGGGTTCAGATTTAAATGAAACTTGGCCAGTGTTCAAAAGGAAAAAAAAAAAGCCTTAAGTAATCCATGGTTATTCTATGCAGCATACTGTAGGGTGTTTCAAATACAAGAGAGTGATGCCAAGGTCATGGAATGCAGCTGCTATGATCAACCAAAAATAGATACCAAGCTCTACATCCTCCCTCATAATTAAAATAGGAAAATTAAACTCAACATAAGCAGGCTGAAGCCAGACAACCACATTACTCTACGTCAGCATTAAATCACTGCCATCCATGTGAGGGAAAAGCTGTTCAGTGCATGAAGCTGTCGCAAACTGTACTACAGAGAAGTGGTATAAAAAAGTATAATGAATGAATAAAAATAGCCAATTGGAGAATTTAACTTGTACAATTTACTTGCTGAGGGTTTTTGGGTTTTTTTAATTGTGGCACACGAATCAGAGACAGCTAGGAAGGGACACCAATCAATGTGTTTTGTCTCAGCTTTGCAGAAGATACAAAGAGAGGGTTTGCAGGGCTTGAAATGCAACAGAATTACACATAACCCTGGAAATGTATTTACTGTCATTAGACTGAACTCCAAACATAGAATCACAGAACCATCAAGCTTGGAGGAGATCTCTAAGATCATCCAGTCCAACCATTAACCTGTCACTGCTGGTACTCCTAAACCCTAACCCATATCCTCCAGTGTCAGATCCAGATGCCCCTTAAACACCTCCAGGGATGGTGACTCCACCACCTCCCTGGGCAACCTATTCCAGTGCCTGAACACCCTAACAGGGAAAACATTTTTCCTGACATCTAATCTGACTCTCCCCTGTCTCAGCTCAAGGCCATTCCCTCTAGGAACATAATCTGAAGCTAAACTGCTGCAGCATTTCACCTGTTCAGACAGTGGCACGTTCATTCATTACACTGCATACAGAAAAGCTGTTACTTCATCCTTTCTTTTTTGTGAGTTTATGTCCAAGTTTCTGCTTTTATTTCACATTGCATTTGAAGTTGAAAAGAATTTTATAACCAAGCCTGATGAAAATAAACCACACCATCTTCCAAATACTTGAGAACTAAAACACACAAATAGACCAGAAAGGTCACGGATTCTCAGTCATTGGAGGTGTTCAAGAACAGTCTGGACACAATCCTGACCCATGTGGAGTAGGGAGGTTGGACCAGATGACCCACTGTGGTCCCTTCCAGCCTAACTGATCCTGTGAAGTATTTCAAGGACTACTACTTTAAGGTATTAAGATGCTCCCCCTGAATTCTGAAGCATCAATCACTGCTTTCAGATATGAAGCAAAAGCTCCAATTTTAGGGTCATGTAAAATCAAGTACAGTCCTAAACAGTGAATTTAAACCTTTGGTTCTTTACAGGCTGATATCTAAAGTCAAACCTTACTATGCCCTCTCTTCCTGCCTTAACATGTCTAAGACAGGAGACTTTCCATCCCCTCAAGTCCTCCAAAGAAATTTAACACAATTCAAGGTGACTTTCACAAGAAGTGATCATCAACTGCAAAGCCAAGCAATTTCGAGCATGAGGTGCTGATGTGTGCACTCATGAGTTGTTCTTGTTTACCTCTGCCATCATCAAGGCATAATATCAGAATTTTTTTTATGTTGACATCAAATGGAGAGAGACATTAAGATAAATGACTATGCTCACATGTTGTGCAGCAAACATCAATTACATTAAGGCATTACAAGGGGGTAAAAAGGTTGGAATGCAATACAATTCCAAACCCTCTGTAAAACAAGCACAGCTAGGTGCTTCATGCTAAGTTAAGTAAATAAAACACCGACTTAATATTGATTTAATATCAACAGCCAAAAGAGACTTGTAACTTCCAAGAAGAGATAGATATAAAAGCAGCCTAGGAAAGTGTGATTAGAAGCTATAGTTTATAGCTCTCCTTCCCCAAGACATGCCCAGGCCAATAGAAGTACTAAAAGGATTAATTATCCCTCTCTGAGTAAGCTTCCTATCCTACATGGTAAAAGTCTTCAGTGATAACTCATCCTTACTTAGCACAGGCATGAGAGTTAACTTGACACCAGCTATGCCTTAAGAGGAAGAGATCTACAGGGTTAAAGATAATACAGAGGTGACCTGTCCTACGATAATGTCACCAACAAGATAAGAGACAGGTGAGAAAGAACTGTTCTCTGAAGGTGGCTACCATGTACTGAGTGGTCCTTATCTGGTACAGACCTACCATTAAGCATTTCAATTAGCTAAAGAAGCAAATTAGCACTAAACTAGACATGGCAAGGGTCTAGGCCCACAATACCAGTCATAATTCATTAAGTTCTTCAGTAATTCCTGTTCAATGAAACCATTGTACCCTTTGATTCACTAGTAAACATAGACCCATGTCAATATAAAGAGCTGTAGAAGAGATGTCACCATCTCACCCAGCAAACAGTCTTGGGGCTGTCAGAAAACAACTAACAGGCACAATAAGCAAATATGGCCTGGTCTGGTAGAAATATGGCAGACAAGCGCCTTGAGGTCAAGAGATACAAACCAACTTCCCTCCTGCTTGGTCAGGATCCTCTCCCACAGGTTCACCTGAAACCAGACTGGTCCACATGACTGTGTACTATTAGTCACTGTAGCCCTTTTTGCTTCAGAAAACATAGCCACTGTTAAACCTTCCCTTAAAAAAATGCAAGTTGCTTTATAATTACACATTCTAGAGCCAACTACAAGACGTAATATAAAGAATTAAAAAGCCTTATTTCTTTAAAAAAACAGGAGCTTTAGCAACTTGCTGGGAACTCCTTCAGAGACAGTGCACGTACCACTGGAGTACACACTTGGCTGGCAACCTAGAAACGTTTCCTTCTCCATACGGGGATTAAATCAGAGTCTTTCATGGATCCTGCTCTCCCATCCTCCCCAGGAAAAGGATGTTAACCTATGCCAGAACATCCACAATACACAAAACCTGGCTCTATGTGCTCACTGAATCAGGCTGCAGATTTGTAAAATGACCTCGCACATCAAGAAAAAAACATGCTCATTAGTGGGTATTCTGAGCAGATGTGACTAATGGCAAGTGAAGTCTTTCCTCAGAAGTGTCTTCCATGAGGGGTGTAATTAATTGTTTTTCAGAAATAATCTCCCTTTTAGAGACACAATAGCTTTGCTAAAAGCTTCCATTTATTTACCTCTAAGGAAGCAATCTGCCTGCCAGTGCTGGCAGATGGAAAAATATGAATTTATGGAAACAGGCCCAAAAAAAGACCAGGGTTTTTAAGAGAGATTAAAAGATTTTATCTTAATGCAGCAAGTAAAGAACAATGCAATGCAGATAAGACAGAACAGATGTGTGCCAAAACATGAATTATGCATGTATTATTATCACATGAACATATAAACCTGATAAAAACCAAGGTACAGCTAAGATTATTTCAAGGAACACTAACAAGGAAATTACCTATTGGACAGAAATCATATTTCTAAGTTCAGTGACAAGTTTCAAGAAGAGCTTGGAACTCATCATGAACATAGGTTACAGACACCTCTGTCATCATCTTAACTATATAATTGAACACAACCATCTTACCATCAATCTGCATAAGGTAAAAATCTATTACCTACAGAGCAAAAACCATATCATTTGTTTGCAAGAAGCCCAAACTCATTTCCATCTCCCTCTCTTTATTTTAAAGCAATAAAACTTTCCTTATGACTAAATGCTATGCAAGAGTATTAACTGGTTGTGGTTTCTTGTGTCATGCTACAACTTTAGAAAACCCAAGTTCCCTTATACCTATTTAACTACAGGCAATGGAACCCAGGCAAGATCACCTGCCAAAGGTCCCAAGCCTCCCACAAACTACCTAGGGCACCTGGACACTAAGCTCAGGAGAGTTGCTTCTTAACACTCAGGTACCCATTTTAGGATGCTGAATCTGTTGGTTTAGATTTATTTTTGGCTTCCTTAAAGTTAAGCCTGTGTATTTTAAGAGCTAGAGAGGATTTTCTTTTTTCCTCTGTTGAATGAAAGGATTGGTGAGACCAATTTTACTTCTCAATAGGAACAGCATTTTGTTGGCACACTCTAGTCAAAAGCAGCACTTGTCTGAAATTTTCTGGAACAAATGGGTAAGTTTCATTATGGTTTTGTCTCCAAAAATGAGGGTTCAGTCATTATTTGAGCCCACGTTAAGTATGTTTTGCTACTATCACCTAGCAGAATTAGAGCACAAGTATATCTGACACATCTGAGTAGTAAAGGTGCATGCCTATCTACTCACAGTGGAATATACCAATGTTGCAATGACAGAGACTTTACAGAGGTATTGAAGCTTATATTTAGGCTCAGTTACAAGACTTCTATTTGTATTATGTATATTTCTATTTATAAATAGAAAAAGACTGTATCAAGTCTTTACAGCATCAGTAGCTTTATTCTACTTCTTCATGAAACATGTCAATCCTTCAGCTTAGAATAGCATATTAACACAGTTAAGTACCTGCGGGTCCGTGGAGGCTTTGGTGGAGGAGAATCCTGTTTCTCAGCATCTGAAGAAGTGACAGCATTCTCTGTATTATTTTCATCCTGGTGAAAAGAAAAATACTTTTTTATTCATGGCTACAAAGCTGATCCACACAATACTTAACCTGTAAGGTCCAAAGATCCATAATGATGCTTGAAAATAATGTATAACAATATGACCTATTTTTGGCTGTCATACAGAGATCAGTTCCAAAACTTTAAACACATAAAATTCTTTTATATCTTGTGCATCCAACTTCAGTTTTTTTCTGACTACAGAATTTGTTCTAGTTCTAACAGAACAATTCACTAGAGAAAACTCTCAAAGCTAATCTTGAGGCTAGTAGTAAGCAAGCTCTCTTACACCCTTCGAATTAGTCATATTGAAAGCATTCATTTTTCAGCCAGCCTAATTATTTTCACTTGCACAATCACCCCACTGAAGATAAGACTCATCTACAGTGTAGTAATAAACTCAGAGTTTCAGCTACTGTAAAGTGACAAGTGGATAAGATTTAATGCATTGAACTAAAACACTTTCAAGTCATCTCCCATTTGTGTACAATGAAGCTTAATTTACTCAGCTAAGCATGAAGATTTCACTTTAGGAGGACTATAAATATAAGAGATATCCCTCTCATATATACATAATCCTAGAATTTTAGGGGTTGGAATGAACCTTACAGATCATCTAGTCCCAACCCCCTCTCATGGGCAGGGACACCTCCCACCACAGCAGGTTGCTCAAGGCTCATCCAACCTGGCTGTGAACACTGCCAGGGTTGGGGCAGCCACCATGTCCCTGGGCAACCTGTGCCAGTGTCTCACCACCCTCACAGGAAAAACCTTTTTCCTAATATCTAACCTAAATTTCCCCTCCTTCAATTTGTTGCCCCTTGTCCTGTCCCTGCAGCTCCTAACACAGAGTCCCTCTGCAACTTCCTTGCAGCCCCTTCAGATCCTGGAAGGTGCTATGAGGTCTCCACACAACCTTCTCCAGACTGAATAGCCCCAAATTCCTCAGCCTGTCTCCATAGGGGTGATGCTCTATATAAAGTATATGTATCCATACACATTTATACATTTATACATATAAAATACTGTTGTAGGTTAACCCTGGTAGGCAGCTAAGCCCCACAAAGCCATTCATATGCCTATTTCTCCACTCCACCCTTGGAGGGGGAGAGGAACAGCAAGAAAACTCATGGATCAAGACAAAATAGTTCAGTAGGCAAGAAGTGGGAGAAGAGAAAAAGAATACAAACAGGCAATGCAAAAGCAATCACTCAGAACCTCCCCCAGGGAGGTCTGTGCCCAGCCTGTTCCTGAGCCAGACTAACCACACTAAACCCCTCTTGTCCATCTTTGTTGCTGAGCATGATGCTATATAGTGTTAGGGAATATCTCCTTGGTTCATTTGGGTCAACTGCCTGGCTGTGTCCTCCTCACTGGGAGGGCAGACTGAAAAACAGAGGCAACGTTGACTGTGCAAAAAACATTGCACAGCAATAGCTGCAAAATGAGTTGCAAAAAAACAATCAGCACTGTTTTTGCCAGAGACTAAAGCACAGCACCCCAAGAGCAGCTGTGAACACTGTTTAACTACAGCCCAGCCACTCAGTGTAAAAATGTGTAAAAACATCTATGCATACAAAAAAAGCAGAAGATGCAGGGGAGGTTTAGGTTGGATATTAGGAAGAGATTTTTTCCAGAGAGAGTGCTCAGGCATTGGAATGTGCTGCCCAGGGAGGTGGTGGATTCACCATCCCTGGAGGTTTTCAAGCTGAGACTGGATGTGGCACTTAGTGCCATGGGCTAGTAACCATGGTTAGGGCTGGACCTGATGATCTTGAAGGTCTTTTCCAACCAGGTTGATTCTATGATTCTAAAGCTGACACAGCATTTCCATACATGTGCCACAGCCAAAGACCCAACGAAACCAAGGAAGACTTTAGTGTTACCTTGACCTTAATGCTTATTTTACCTGAAGGCTTTTCTTGCAGGAATATCCTTTTGAAAAGCAATTTTAAAACAGAACAAACATCTCAAATCTTTGTAATGTCTTTCAAAGCACAGTACAAGGTTCATGCAATAAGGTCTGCTATCTGCCAGCCTGTGTGCTCAGACCAGTGACAGAGACTGGCCTTCAGTTTTAGCAGGGCCTGTTGCAACAGGACAGAGGGTAATGGTTTTAAGCTACAAGAGGGTGCATTTAGGCTAGATGGAAGGAAGAAATGCTTTATGATGAGAGTGATGAAACGCTGGAATAGGTGTTCAAATGTGCTAGTTGCTGTTTCAAATGTGCTAGTTGCATTTGAATGCAGTAAGCACTTTCTGCTTTGGAAGATAAACTGTAACTAAGTTATCTCAACAGCTAACTAATCTCACTTAAGCTGAGATTCATTAGTTACATGTTTCTCTTTTTTTTTTTTCTTCTGTGAAGAGCCTATTATCAAATTCCATTCCTCAGTGTACTAAGTGAAGCTTTACCTGTGAAGAACAAAATTAAATCTTTTGATCTTTATTACTTTTCTTCACTAACCTCCCCCATTAACTTGCTGGTGAATACAATATTCCAGAAGTACTCCAGCAGAAATACCCTATTGTTCCCTAATAAATGGATCGTGTTAGGCCTTTCAGAGAAATTGCACAGGGAGTTCATTGTCCTGCTGACCACTAGCTGTAACTAGAAAGGGTTTTTTTTGAGTAAGATTCAATTAGCAGATAAAAGCCACTCACATTTAAATCAACACAACTGAAGCTGCCACTGCAGTCAATGCAGGTTGGCTGGTTTTCACAGAATCATGGAATGGTTTGTGTTGGAAGTGACCTTTAAAGGTGATCTAGTCCAAACCCCACACACAGCTAGCAGGGACATCTTCAACGAGATGAAGCTGCTCAGAGCCCTGTCCAACCTGACCCTGAATGTGGAGATGGGGCATCTACAGCCTTTCTGGGCAACTCATTCCAGAGTTGCATCACTCCCATCATGAAACATTTCTTCCTTCCATCTAGCCTGAATGTACCCTCTTTAGTTTAAAACCATTACCCTCTGCCCTACTGCAACAGGCCCTGCTAAAATCTGTCCACATCATTCTTATAAGCCCCTTTAGGTACTGCAAGGCCACATAAAGGTCTCCCCAGAGCCTTCTCTTCTCCAGCTGAGCAGCCCCAACTCGCTTTGTCTTCATAGGAGACATGTTCATCCTTCTGCTCATCTTTGTGCCCTCCTCTGGACTGACTCTAACAGATCCACCTCCTTCTTATGCTGGGGGCCCCAGAGCTGGACACAGTGGCTCCAGGTTGGGTCTCACCAGAGCAGAGGGGTAGAATCCCCTCCCTCGACCTGATAGTCATGCTGCTTGTGATGCAGCCCAGGATAGAACTGGTTTTCTGGGCTGCAAGTTCACATTGTTGAGTCACATCCAGCTTTTCAGCCACCACTAAGAGACCAGCCAGTGAACTGGGGATTAAGGTGACAGAACAACCAGCCCTGCTGACTACGTTTGGAGCTTAGACGCATAAAGCACACACAAAGCCTCCGTTCCAAACCAAACTCTACCTCTTTTTGTTTCCAGAGCTGAGCATTTACATTTTGCATCATCAAAGCACACTCTTGATCAACTTGCCAAATAGCCCAGAACTTCTTTTGTATTCATGTCAGAATATATTGTTTCCTTAAGTCCCTGTTACTTCTACTAATAACAATTTTTGGTTTTCCCAGGGTAATTGATAACAGACCAATAGCCACATCAGGCTAACTGATCGTGCTGTACCTTACTGAACTGGGATTATCTGTTGGTTGGCTCTCAAAACAAAGTGAACTAGGCTTCAAAATACTCAGTATATTGGGGTTTGTATCATTCTAGCCTTTAATGAACAACATTTATTGCAAGTCAAACACCTTCTGAGGGGACTGGAACATCTCTCGTATGAGGACAGGCTGAGGAAGTTGGGGCTGGAGAAGAGAAGACTGTGTGGAGACCTCAGAGCAACTTTTCAATATCTGAAGGGCCTACAAGGAGCTGGAGAGGGACTCTGTGTTAGGAACTGCCATGACAGGACAAGGGGTAATGGATTCAAACTGAAGGAGGGGAAGTCTAGGTTAGATATAAGAAAAAGGTTTTCTACTGTAAGGGTGGTGAGACATTGGAACAGGCTGCCCAGGGACGTGGTGGCTGCCCCAACCCTGGTGGTGCTCAGGGCCAGGCTGGATAAGGCCTTGAGCAACCTGATCTAGTGAGGAGGTGTCCCTGCCCATGGCAGAAGGGGTTGGGACTAGATGATCTGTAAGGTCCATTCCAACACTTAAATTCTATGATTATATGATTTATTGCACCAGCACTACCTTAAACCTCAGTGCTTTTATCAATACACAGTGCCCAAAGAGTCACTGTCCAAAAAAGCAGAATGACTAAAGCAGCTGCTGAGATACCACAGAAGTATGAATGCTATGCTTGATCTGTAAACTAAATGCAGGCCCTCGTATCCTAAGAGGGTGTTCCTAGACATTAGAAAGAGTGAGACTCCACAAGAGCTCCTCTCCCTCATCACCTTCTCCATCCTACAACAGATCAGAAAAGTATCCCAGTTCAGTTCCACCAGCACAGAAGTTTTGAGGAACAGATTTCTTATTTATGCACTCAGTTTTTCTACAGGGTATTGGCCAGGGACAGGGTGTGCCATTGGCTGTGGTGTAGACTAACTTGTCCAGAAAACAAACCAGCAGCTGCATCCCTGTCCTCCTATGTTTGTAAAGTCAAGTGTTTGTGAATAGAATGTTTCCTGAGATATGTTTTTCTCACAGGAGGAAGAAACAGCTTATTAAAGAAGCTAACATATGTCTAAGTCTTTTAAAACTCTTTGTGTACAGTAAGAAGCTGTTTCTAGCTGAGACAAGCAGAAGGAGCTTTTTTGCTACCAGTAGTAAAACTTATAGATACACCCTACAAAAATGTGTATAAACTCAAATGTCCATGGCACATACACAACCATGGAGAGTTTACAAAGTAATTCCTTGATATAAAACCATTAAAATCCCAAACAAACAAAACCCAACAAAA